CTGCAGGGACAGCATCCAAGGGAGGTGTCCAGAGCCTGTAATTCACTGGGCCTTGGTCACCAGTGAGTCCCTGGCTGATCTTCATTGTGTCCTTGAGGCCACCCTCTGTCGTTGCCTGACTCGGCCTACAGTGGCACTTGCCCCGTTAGCACCTCCATACGCTGATGCCAGTGATCTTCCCAGGGTGCAAGTCTGACACGTCCTCTTCCTCCTCCCACCACCTACCTCTCTGTGCTCTTGGAAATATCTGAACTCCCTGCCCCAACTGGATTCACTAGTGCTGCCCAAGCTGCCCACCTCCATCTGCAGCCTGGGACTAGAGGTGGCTGGGTCCCCCTCCATCCACCAGAGCTGCCTCTCTGCTCCCAGCCTCCCTGTGAGACCCAGGGGCAGTGACAGGCTCCCTGCCCGATGGCGCTGGGCCTCCTGGCGCAGGGCTTCTGAGCTGTCCAGCTCTCTGAGGCTTGGTTTCTGGATGGGCCGTGGAGCCCCTGGGGCAGGGTGGATGGGTGCTCCTGCCCTGAGCCTGCATCTTCCTGAGTCCCCAAGGGTGAGCACCTGTCCAGATTTCTGGCACAGAGGCTGGGCTGGAGGGGGAAGTGGCCACCTCTAGCCCCTGGATGAGGTGGCACTGCCTGCCACACCCTGAATGCCTTTTGTCCCAGCTCCAGGGATGCCCCTGCCCTTGCTGGGTGCCACCCACTGCCCGGGAAGTGGGGAGCATCCAAGGGGATCGCCCTGAGGGGTCGGGTCACTGGCACCCAGAACTGGGGAGACCTCTGCACCAGTGCAGATGGTTCTTAGAAAGACTTGCCAACGAGGCCTTTCTCACAGGTCTTTCTCTTGGGCTGCAAACTGAACTTTTATCTGTAAAACATTCTCCTAGCAATGCTCTGCCAACCAGACGGCGTCTGGGAAGCGTGTATTGTATGCCGCTCACTCCCCGTGTCTAGTTTGGCCTGGTGTCTGTCCTGGGCCACTCTGCCTGGAAACCCCATTATCCTGCAAGGTTTGCTTGGCATCTGCCCGGACACGGATATCTGATCCCGGTCCAGTGAAGATGGCTTGGGAGGGGCGGGGGCAGCGAGAGGCCAGCCAGGCTGCCCTATCCCTTTGTGTTGGTACTGCCCTCGGGTACGTACGCTGGTCCCCCTGGTGCTGAGGGGGGCCTGGTCTGCAGTCCAGCCAAAGGGCCATTCACCCTCCCTGCTCCCGGAGGCCGTGTGTTTGGTCAGAATGGCGGAGCACAGGAGACTGGTCTTGTTTGTGTGGTGTGTGTAGTGGGGCTGGGGTCCTGCATGGGGGGCTCCACTGCCTGCAGCAGAGGATGCCAGGATGTCCTGCGTAAGCTCTGAGCAAGCCCAGTGGACCCTACATGGAACCACAGCCCGGAGCTCCCGAGGGAAGGAGATGGGGACACAGGTGCCGATTCCCTGGGCTTGTCCGACCCTGCTGTCCCCAACACCTGGTGGCCCCCTGACCCCGCACACGCCTGTGTTCACCATATCATCCCTGAAGGCTGCTCCTCACCAGGCTGGGGCCCCTCGTTCACAAAACAGATGGGGGGGTCACCACAGGGTGGAAGGAGCGAGGAGCCTTGGGAACGGGCTCGCCTTCTGGGGGAGACGGCCATGTCTGAGCCACGTCCCGCCACACTGTCCCCTCTCAGGCCCAGTGTGCACAGCGTCACTGTGGAGGGGAGGCCCCGTGCCAAAGGAGACAAGGAGCCAGGCGGGCAAGGTGCCCATAAGAGGTCAGGGTTCCTCCCTGCCTCACGGGTGGCCTCCTCCTGCCCACCCTGTACAGGGCATCAGAGCCCACTGGCAGGAGAGTGCCCGAGGTGGGGAGACTTTCCTCTCATGCTAGGAGCAAGGGCCCTGGCATCCCTGAGTGTCCCCAGATGGCCCCTAGCCTGGGGTTGCCATGTGTTCTAGGCTGAATTCTATCACCTTAGGCTTCCCGCTGCAGCCCTGACCCCAGACCCTCAGAATGTGGCTTTGTCCAGAGACTGGGCTTTTGCAGAGGAAATGCAAAGGTGCACGAGGCTCCTGGGCGGCTCTCATCCGATCTGCCTGTGTCCAGAAAAGAAGGGGGACACCGCTCTGTTTGGATGGCAGACATCTCAGAGGTGAGAACGCTCGTGTTCAAGGTCTCTGGGGTGGCGGGCCTGAGCTGCTGGCTTCTGGGTGACAGTGACACTGGACTGATACCTGTGCACCCGCTGAAGGATACCAGGCTGGAGTGTTCCCCCGGGCGGCCTCGGAGCTCAGCCCAGGTTGCCCCTGCCGGTGCAGGCAGTTCCACCCATGCCAAGGGGCTGTGTCCATGTCCCAAAGGGACCATGAACTCTTGAGGGTCAGCCTACCTGGGCCCTCAACAGGACCTGCAGCTCTCCCTGTAAGAGGGGAAGGAGAGCCGGGGATTTAGCTCAGTGGTTTTGCCTCGTGCCCTGCAAGCACAAGGGCTTGAGTTCGATCCCTAGTACCAAAAAAAAAAAAAAAAAGGACTGGCAATGTAGCTCAGTGCAAAGGCCCTAGCTTCAATCCCCAGTACCACAAAAAAAAAAAAAAGAGGGGAAGGAGAGAAATTACCGGGCTGCTTCAACGCGGGAAGGGGCTGGCCATTTCCCAGCCAGGCAAGGCCGCCAGGAGACTGGAGGGACGCTCTAGGAAGGGCAGCCCTTGACACCAGGGCCACCACCTGGCCACCGCTTCATAAACCACCTAGAGGGAAGAAGCATAACCAACAGAAGGAGAACTGGCTGGCAGGTGCACAGCACGGAGCCCGCCGCCCGCTCCGTCCCTGCTAGGTGCCGTGGTGACGCAGAGTTGGCAGCCCACGGGGTCACTGCAGAGCGCAGGGCTCTGGATGGGGGTTTGAGGGAGTCCCTCAGGCTCTGTCCCCCAGTCTCCTCATCTGCAAATGGGGGAAGTGAGAGACCTCCTCGTGGCTGCTTGAGACTTAGCACCAGCGAGACCCTAATTGTGACAGATGTGTCAGATGCCCAGTGTGCGGACCTTTCTGACTGCCTGCCTCCTTGCCCAGCTCCCAGCTTGGATGAGGGTAGAATCCATGTTTTTGTCACCACGAGGCCTGCTTTCCTCTGTTCCCGAGCTGTCCACTCGGGACCACGGGGCGTCACCTGACTTTCAGCTCTTGGGAGGCCACCTGTCCTCACCCTGGCTGGTCCTGAGGCAGCAGTGGGTGCTGGGCTGCTGACAGCACAGAAACATGCTTGTGAGGGTCAGACAAGGAGCCGTGTGTGGTGGGGAGAGGGACAGCATGCCCACGGCTGGGACCAGAAAGTCTCCGGTGATCGCCGGGCCCCTGGCCCGCGTCGGCACCCTACTCTTCAGGGGCAAGGGCTGAAGGGGTGTGGGCTGGAATTTCGCGTTCATCCAGGCATGCGGGAACGCAGAGGGCCAGCAGTTCCGGCGTAACCCACGAGCAGATGTGCACGTGCACATACACACACGCACAGCTCCATATGCACACATGCACATACATGCACACCCCACCCACCACAACATATTCACACACACAGACAGCCCTATCTCTCTATTGCACACAACTCACACACGTCTCCCTCTGATCACATGCATCATTGATACACATCGTAAGAAAGAAGATCAAATGACAAATGTGAAATTTAGCCCCAGAACTTTGCTCTACTCACTGCACATCAAGCACACCCGGTCTGCGCATGCAGAGCCTGTCGCTCTTTTTTGTGCAATTGTTTGGCACACGAGTATGTGGCAGACGCAGAGTAAAACACAGCCGTTCGGTTAGTGCCAGACCTGCCCTCTGCCTGTCTCCTCCACCCTGTTTCCAGGACGGGACTGAAGGGTGCTTGGGGAATTGCACGCAGGGTCTGGACACAGACCTGGCCCGGGGATCCCAGCCCTGCCTGGCATCCTTGCCGGCCTTGTTCAAAGGCAGCCGGGAGGCTCGGCGTTTGAAAGCCTTCTTAACTCACTTTGACTCCTTTCTAAACACAAGCCCTGCAGCCCTGGAGGAGGGTGGCAGGAGTGAGTCAGGCTTCAGGGCGGCCTCCCAGGCCTGGGGAAGCCCGAATGCCCCAGAGAGGGGTGGAGGTCTGGAGCCGGACCTGGCCTGATCCCTAACCCGGATGTCCCGTGTCCAAGCATTTGGGGCCCTCTTGGAAGCTGCACCCCAGTTCGGCATCCATGCCCATCTGCAGTCCCAAGGAGGCTGGAAGGCGGGTCCCAGGTCTGGTTGACATGTCGGCCACAGTCTTGGGCGCCCCATCTGGCTGGATTGGAAGTTTAGTCTCCACCCAGAAGAGGCGCTCAGAGCTCCTCCACGTAAAGAAAAAGTTGGGCGGGTGAACGGCAACTTTTTTTTTTTTTAAACCCAAAGTGATCAAACTTCGGGGGCCCCTCTGGATCGGGATCTTGGAGCTCAGCGACGTGCAGGCACCTGGAGTGGGAAGATGGGGGCGGGAGCTAGGGTGGGCGCGGGGCTCCGAGGCAGTCCCCAGGCCCACGCGGCAGCCCCGCCCCGAGCCCGCCTCAAGCGCTGTCCCCACCCCCTCGCCGACGGCGCCCAGTGGGAGGCGGGGGCCGGGCTCGCCGCGCCCGGCCAGGGCTCTGATTTGCTGCGGGCGGCGGGGATCGACAGCCTCCGCGGGTGCCCGCGGGGAGAGGGAGGAGGAAGGGGGAACGGAGTGCTGGACGACCCCGGCGAAGTCCGCACTCCCGGCCCGGCTGGCGCAGGACCTCACTCGGCCGAGCGCGCGCGGGAGCGGGTCGCGGGGCGGCGGCGGCGGCGGCAAGGAGGACTCGGAGCGCGGAGGAGGCCGCGCGAGCAAGCGAGCCGAGCGGGGTCCCGGGCGCCCCGTGGGCCGAGTGGAGCCCCCGCCGCGGGCGCGCGCCGGCCGCCCCTTCCCGTCCCGGACGCGAGCCCGCGGGGGCCGCCACCCTATGACTCCCTGAGCCCGGCGGTCCCCGCCGCGTCCGCGCCCCGCGCCTCGTGCGTCCCGCGCGCCCCCGTGCGATCCGGCCCGCGTCCCGCCGGCATGGACGTCCACACCCGCTGGAAAGCGCGCGGCCCCCCGCGCCCGGGCGCCCCGCCGCTGTCCCCGCTGCTGCTCCCTTTCCTCCTGCTGCTGTGGGCGCCGCCGCCGAGCCGCGCAGGTAAGGGCGCCCGGCCGGGGTCCCGGGGGCGGGGCTCGGGGTTCGCTGTCACCCGGGCGCCTCCTCCGCGCCTGGAGAACTTTTCCCGGGGCCTGTGGAATGCTCGGGCCGAGACGGCGAATGCCATTCGCCGGGGGCCTGGAGAGGGAGACCCAGCCCATCGCAGTCCCCTCCCGGGAGCGCCGCTGGGCGGGGCTGTCGCGGAGCCCAGGGAGGCCGCGTGTGCGACCAGCCGCAGGGTTTGCCCGCGAGTCCGAGAGGCGGGCAGACTTTTGTCCCGGGCCCTGGCGTGCGCTGTCCCACATCACAGGCAGCCCGAGCGCCCACACCGTCCGCAGCAACGGCCTCTGCCCAAACCCGGGAAGGGCCGCCCCCTGGAGTCCCAGCCCGTCCATCTGGCCAGCCTCCCGGGGCCGAGGGGTACCCGAAGTTTGAGCAGACCCTCTCTAGGCTGGCGCTCTTCTTTCCCAGGGGACAGACAGGGTTTCTTGTGCGCCTGGCCACCTCCTTGATCCAGGGCGCTGTGATCCCACCCCAAGCCTTCCTAATTCTCTGCCCAAAGACGGGGTGCATGGCTCACAGCGAGGAGATGGCTTTGGAGTTGGGCTGGGCTGGTGCAGATGATGCCCAGATGTGTGCTCCTCGCCAGGGCAGGCTGGGCCCGCAGAAGAAGCCCAGCTTCCCAGGGAGGGCGGACCCACTGCCCCTGGTTGGGTTCTGCAGTTCCAGCTCCGGGCCAGCTTTCCTGACGGGAGTGGTGCTCCGTGCACGGCCTTGGCAGCAGCCCCTCGACCGGGCTTCAGAGACCCTCTAGCCCCGGGAGGCCCCTGGCTCCTCAGTGGCAGGGGGCGGTGAAGGCTGGGGTCAGGAAGAAGAGCACTGGGCAGAGGGCTGGGCGAGTGGGCGCAGTGAGCAGCGGGACCCGCCTGCCTTCCCCTGCGAGAAGACTGTGCTTCCTCCTCGGTGATGGGGAGTCGGGAAGAATCGCTTTCCTTGTTCCACTTGCCAATTCAAATGTTCTGCTCCTTTTTTCTTGGCACGATTGATGCTTGGTGGGCTCTAGCGGATGAGCAGGAGTCCGGGGTGAGGTGGCCTAGTGGGAGGAGAGGGGGTCCTGGCCTGGGTCCCAGGCTCTGGGATCTGGCCTCGAGCTTCTCTGGGGGTCAGCTGAGGGTGGGGGACAGCAGGAGCCCCAGAGACGATGTGGTCCAGGGCTGGGGGCTGTGCAGGGACTCGGCCCCGCCCCAGCTCCTAGATGTGGCTCCCAGGGTCTTGGCTGCGTCCCTGGCATGCTTGCTGGTGGCTCCCTTCCCGCTGGCCCTGCCTCAGGCTCCTTCCTCTCTGATGTCCCCGCCTGACAGAGGTGCAGCCCCGGGGGAGGCAAGAGGGGTGGCGGAGGGAGGTCTCCCCTGTGCCTTTGGGAACTTTGCTTTTGTTGAAGGAGATTTGGAAGCTTTCGAAGAAGCTCTTTTCACGGGTGGGTGGGTTTCACCAACCTCTCCCCACTGCCCAGGGTGGGACCCATTTGAAGTCATCTTTCGTGTGCGGCCAGCGGGGGTGGGTGTCCACTGCACATGCCGGGGAGGGGGAGCGGCCCCAGCCAGCCGGCCCGGTCGCTTCCATCCCGTCTCGGGTGTGCCAGATGTTTTCCAAGTTCTCTGAGAACATAGCCCTTTCCCCTACCTTGGTCTGGGCCAAGCGTGGGAAGAAGCAAAAGCTTAGGGTGCACTCGGGGCTGCTCCACGTTGTAAGAGGGAAGGAGCATATGGGAAATGAAACGTGACCCCAATATTTGGAAATTGAGGTCATCTCCTCCACAGGCCATTGGTGGGCTCCGGGCACGTGACGGCTTTTTGCAATCATTTGCGGGAGAGGCGGCCAAGTTTTGGGAGACTTGACAGATAGCAAATGGTTAAGTTTCCTCTGACTCAATCGAGTTGGCTCCAGAGCAGTCCTTTTCCATCCTCCTCCCTCCCCTCCCCATGAAAGAACAAGCCAGTGGGAGGCAGCGGCGGCCAAGAGAGTCCCCAAGAAGCCCTCTCCCGGCTGGGCTGTCCACGTTTCCCTGCCTGGGGCTGCAGTGTGGTTGCCGCCCGGGGCTGTGGCCACCAGCTGTGGCCGGCGGGCGTGCCTGCCTGGTGCCCAGCTCGAAGCCTGTGCTCTGTGATGTCGCCCGGCCGCTCCTGGGTGCTGGCCAGCGCCAGGCCTTCACCCCACCCTTGGGATATTTCTGGATGCTGCCCACTGCCACACCCTTCGCCCCTATACCACCTCGACCTTCTCCCAGGGGTCCAGACTGGTGGGTGGAGCAGAGGGCCTGAGGATGGAGCTTGCTTTGCAGCAGGGACAGTGGTGAGCCTGGGCCAGAGTGTGGAGCTCCCTGAGGGCCAGGATGAGTCACGTCCACCCCGGACACTGTGTTTGCTGCACTTCGAGGAGGTGCCCGTGTCAGGACAGCCCTGCTGGGGATGCATTTGCTAGCACTTGCCTGGCCGGTGGGGAGCGCTCACACCGGCCAAGCTGGGACAGAGGCCCAGCCGGCCCGGCCCGGGGGTCCCACGCCCCCGACTCTGTGCCAGGGCCCTGAGTGAGGTGGGCCTCCTGCTGGCCTGGCCCTCCCTGACTCTGGATGCTGGCCTGCTTCACATCTGGTTATCAGCTCCCCGGGAGAGGCCCAGTGCCTGGCTGTGCTCAGGCCCCGGGGCCTGTGCCCAGTGGGCTCCGGAGGAAGGGGGTCCCCTCGGCCAACACAGGTCCTTCCCTCCTTCCCTCCTCCCCTCTGCCCGGCCCCAATGCTTCAGCAGGGACCCACCAGGCTCCCTGCGGTCCCACCAGCCTGCCTGGCCCTGGAGGCTTTGCCTTTGCCCCTGGCCTGGGAGGGGAAGGGACCCCTGGTCCCACCTAGCAGTGACATCTGCGTGTGACCCTAAGGCCCGCGGGGACCTGCTGAGTCCCTGGGCACCATCTGGGGAGCTGAGCCGCCCTCGGCGATGGGGCTTTCTGGAGAGGTGGGGTAGAGCGGCCTGGGCTCCTCCCACCTCGCCTTTTACTACAGCGCCCAGGAGCCCAGGGGCCCAGGGCGGGGGTGTCCGTGGCCGGTTTTCATCTCACCCTTCTCCCTCTTTCCTGGCAAGACATTCCAAGCTCTGTCCCTGCTTCCTGTGGCTGGAAAGCCCCTCATTAGCAGGGTTGGTGGCCCCCAGGCCTGTCTGCCCCGCGGACCCCATGCTAGGAGAAAGCAGGAGCCCCTGAAGAGGAACAAGCGAGGCACCCAGTGAAAAGCTTCTTCAGCCCTCGCTCTGCGGCACAGCTCTGCCAAATGGCAGGGCCTCAGCTTCCAGTGAGGGCTTCGGAAGGGGCACTGCTGTGTCACACCGCTGCATTCAGGGGTGGCCGAGGCACAGAGTCCCCTTCCTGAAAACGCAGAGAATGGCGCTTCTTGCTTTGAGGGGCTGCGAGGACCGGTGAGACCAGTGAGCAGCTCTGGTGAGCAGTTCCCCCTCGCTGCGGCTCGGGGCCGTGGCCACACATGTAAGGGAAGAACACTGAGCTCCTGCAGCCCTCGTTGGACGCCAGGATTCCAGACGCCCAGGGCAAGGAGGAGGCTTCACGAGGGAGACCCCGGAGTCCTGAGCCCACTGGCCGGCCGGCTGAGGGCGCCCTCCGCCATGTGCGGAGGTCACAAACACCTCCCATTGTCACCTCATCACGCAGGCCACCAGGGAAACTGCGTTCTGGGCCGGGGTCAGGGATGCGCACTGGTACATGCGTGTGTGCCACGGCCGGTCTGCGTGTGCATGTCCTGTGCGTGCCTGCAGGAGCACACGAACTCACACACCTGTGCTTAGGTGCAGGTGTCTGCGCTGCTTTTCTGGGAGCTTCTGTACGCAGAGCTTGGCACCTGTGGGGACCCCTCAGGGTGGAGATGAGCGGATGGAGGCCCCGAGACGCTGGGTCCGGCTGCCGCCCCCGAGAGGGATGACTCCTTTTCGCTCATGGATGGGGTTATATTAGACCCGCTCTCCCTGCTGTTTGTATTCCCCGTTGTAATTGGCTCATCTGGCGCTCGCATTAGTTTTACCATTTCTGGCCCAGTGAGCGGATGTCCTGAGACCCGGGAGGTCCCCTACCTGGGCCCTTCCCAGGGGCAGCACTGTTGTTGCCGCAGGACATGGTATGGAGACCAGGGTGTGGCATGGCGGGGAAGGATAGGAGGCCTGAGTGAGGGAGTCTGGGTTTCCATCGTGGCTTCAGCTCCTGCAGGCTGCGTAGTCGTGGCCTTGTGCCTCAGTTTACCCACCTGTAGGAAGGGGATGCTGACAGTATCCTCAGCAGGATTTTGGCAGGGGCTCCATGCACAACTCATAGAGAGCACAGATGAGCCCTCACATCACCGTAGGACCCTGGGGCCCCTGAGGGAGCTGGAGGTTCGATTACGGGCTCTTGGAGCCCTGCTCCCAGGCTGCATGGGTTACCCTCCCTCTCAGGGGAGGGGTCACTGGGGCTCCCTCCTGGGGTGACACCGAAGTGGACCACTGGAGATTCGATCTGGCCATGCACTGCTGCGCCCAAGGTCCCAGGCGGGCAGGCTGGCGGCCCTGGCCCCTTCTTCCCCTTGGGCCATCCCACTCCACCGGAGGATTGGGGTCCAGCGGGGACTTGGCTCTGTCCAGGGCATTCAAGTGTGGGTATAGGAGGGGGCTCTGCTCTGTGCCAGCCCAGCTCCAGGCCCTGGGCAGAAGATTGTGGGCTGGATGCACGCTGGGTGCCTGGTGTGGGTGGTGGCCACTGTGTGTGTCTGTGTCAAACAGTCCGAAGCAGCAGCCCATCGCCTTCCTATCAGCGCAGTTATTCATCTGGAAGAGTCCCAGCCTTAGGAGTAACCCCACATTAGTGGTAAATGTCACCAGCCTTTGGTGACTCAGGCCTCAGGGATGGAACCATAGTCTGACCCACTTTTCTCAAAATGTAATTATGCAGAGCTCTGGAGGGCCGTGTCC